CACACTATTCACCGTCACAAAAGTAAAGGTTGGTAGAAAATTAAAACAACCAATGGAGCAGTAGATTTAAACAAATTCATTTATCAGTAATCAAACCATTTATCGTCCACTTACCCCAGTGATATTTATAAAAACAACCTATAAAAATAATAACATTGTAAATATCATGAATTCATATATAATCTGTAATATAGCACATATCATACTTTTATATTCAACTCGTCAAATAACAATTATCCCTTTTTATCAGCCTACTAATATCCATGGGGATCCCAGCTACACGTGAACCATTCTCCTTAACAAACTTAATTCTAGGGCCATCCCCATACCCTGTTTGGTACGAACGCCAAAACAATAAACCTCAATACCCCGTCCGGTATGAGGGTGAAGCGGGCCTTCCTCATACCCCGTCCGGCATGGGCGCCAAAATATTAAAATCTCCATACCCCGTCCAGTATGAGACAACGTTCACGGTAGGGTTCCCTATGAACCCAGTCCGTCCACCATCTATCAGGATATCTAGTGAGACTGTCATCTTATCTATTTATCAAATCACACCCCTTTCTTATTTTTCTTTAGTCTTCATTACCAACTTAAACATGAATACATAAGCAAGTAACGTGTATCCAATAAAGTAAGCATATCTTAGATTCCCAAAATCAAACAGTAGTGAAGCAAGTAGTGATACATGTATTTAAAACCATAAAATAGATAAACCAGATACCATAATACATTTAAACTGTAAAATAAATCAAACAGGAATCGACAGAGAAATATATCCGGTTCGGGCTCCATTAGCAACCGTAATTAATTATGTATATCTATTTAATTTGTACAAAATACAATATTATCATTTATTCAAACTTCAATTCCATAATAGGAAATAGGGTGAGGGGTCCTTACCTGATATGACACCGAAAACTAGATTTTCACTGCGCCTACGGGCGGTCCCTAGGTTTCCTGAATTTTTTTTTCGGGAACTGAAATGCACTTAGGGTACTTACACATGTCCCAAATAACCCAAAAATCAGATCCAGGGCCTACTCGGCCAATTTTGAAATTCCAGCACGGCAGCTCCGCCATGCTCCGGTGGCGGCGATCCGTCTCGGGTTGGCTGTTTTCGGTCGAATTCAGCCAAATTTGCATCGGTTCCTGTGAGAAAACACACTTAGGGCCCTCAGTGGGCCGAAAAAATACAGAAAACCAAAACTTACCAACGGTGGGGCTCTCTGGTGCGACGGCTCCTTCGGTTCACGTCGCGGTTTGGTATTTTGCTCCGGTCAACCTGTAGAGGAGGAAACGGTGATCACAAAGGTGGAAAAATCACGTCGAATGGGAATCAGAAAGGGCCTCATCGGAGGCAAAAATTGAGACACCCTGCAGCAGCGCTGCTGGGCTTCAGCAGCGTTTTTCGGCCAATTGGCCGGTGTTTTCACTCCGACTTGGCCATATGTGGGTTTAGAATCGAATTCTAAGCAAATGATAGAATTTTTACCTCGTTTGGCAGCCAAAAATTGCTCCAGTACGGCGGCGGTCGGCTCCCCAGCTACTGGGCTATCTTCTCCGGCGAGGGGCTCTGACGGCTAGGGTTAGGGTTTGGGTGCGGATGAGATTATTTATAATCATCCACTTTTGATTTGAGCCATCCATCGCATTTAGTCTGGACCGTCTGATCGCGATTAAATAGGAAATGAATTTGAACCATTCATCGTGATTCAATCTGGGCCGTCCGTGCGCGCGGGAACGGATCTCAGCCGTCCGATCGCGAGCACGCGGATCGCCAAAGTGGCTCCCTTCCGCGTGGTCTCCCGCGTCAGTGTCTCTGCCACGCGGCGCGTCGTGGTTGGCTGGGGCTACTGACCGGGCAGCCGACGTGGCACAATTTTTCTAAATTACGTTTTGACATCCGATTTTTAATTTTTCTTTTAAAAATACTTTCAGAACCCAAATTTTCACAAAATTATTTTCAATTAAATTTCTAAATAATTTTTATCCATTATTATTATTATTTTATTAAACTAAATTAAATTAATATATTATTACATAAATAATAATTATTTTCATATAATAATTACAATAATAAAAAATAAAATAAAAAAAAAGGGTTGGGGTGTTACAGCATAAGCCTGAAAAGCTTGGTTGAGTTTCTTGGCTCGTAATCTAGTGAGTGGCCCACTTGGCATGATGATGTTCGGTCGTTGTGGCCTGTACACATCTTAAGTTATGTTCACATGATGACTTACGTTCATACTATGCTCATCTCCTTGCACACATGCTCGATTATGCTCTGTGCCTTTAATCTCTATCATAAAATATTGGTTGCTAATTTATATCTATAAAATCATTAATTA